TGAGTGGGTGATTGTAAGAATGAGTGAGTGGGTGAGTGTAAGGGTGAGTGAGTGGGTGAGTGTAAGAATGAGTGAGTGGGTAAGTGAGAATGAGTGAGTGGGTGAGTGTAAGAATGAGTGGGTAGGTGAGTGTAAGAATAAGTGAGTGGGTGGGTGAGTGTAAGAATGAGTGGGTGGGTGAGTGTAAGAATGAGTGAGTGGGTGGGTGTGTGTAAGAATGAGTGGGTGGGTGAGTGTAAGAATGAGTGAGTGGGTGGGTGAGTGTAAGAATGAGTGTGTGGGTGGGTGAGTGTGTAATAACGTTGACGACTCTTGACGCCGGAGTTGGAGGCACACGGGTTTATTTCACAGCACAACAGTGGGCATATAACACTCGAGGGGGTATCGCCCCCTCACCCGGCTAGCTGGGAATACACACGCTAGCTACCCTAGCCTGCCTCTTAGTCCTCCACTAACGGGATAGGGGAGGCTATCTGGCCCGACACTGGTAAGTCGGGCCCGGTACCCGGAGTCCCAGACCTGCTCTGACAAGAGCACCGGCTCTGGCTCTCGGAACCACGCCGCTGGCTCGATCCTGTTCGGCCCTGATAAGGACGTCGAACTAGGGGAGTCCAGGGCTCTAGCTAAGATGTCTTCAGTCTTCTCGTTAGCTTAACATTTCCCCCCGAGCCCTCTGACACATCCCCTTTTATACTCAACCCCCGCTGAGGGGTGGGGCCCGGGCTGCCCGGTGCGGACGTCGTTGAGAGCACCCCCCCGTGCACTCACGTAGCCCCGCCCACTGACACCCCTACAAGTGTAAGGGTGAATGAGTGGGTGGGTGAGTGTAAGAGTGAGTGGGTGGGTGGGTGAGTGTAAGGGTGAATGCGTGGGTGAGTGTAAGGGTGAGTGAGTGGGTGGGTGAGTATAAGGGTGAGTGAGTGGGTGGGTGGGTGCAAGGGTGAATGTGTGGGTGGGTGAGTGTAAGGGTGAATGTGTGGGTGAGTGTAAGGGTGAGTGAGTGGGTGGGTGAGTGTAACAGAGCAAGGGCAATGCCACCGTGTACGATCAGAGCCGCGTCTGTTTGCATGTTCACCATGGCACTGATTAGGATCGACCGTGCTAGGTTTAGAGACTGAATACATTGCACTTGACACGTTGGTCAATAACACTAAAATGTGTGCTCTGGAATTAAAATAAGTATAACCCGTAAAAACAAAGTTTTTCACTATAAATCCTTTATATGCGTGGCGGCTAGAGTCCTCTCGTCCTCTGGCTTGAGATGGCTGCCACCTATGGGTCAGATGATTGTCTGCCAGCATTAAGCAATTGGTAATTAAATATTTAATTTGTTTTCCCTAAACAGTGTAACATTCTGGAAATTTTTTTTAACGAACATTAATTGTCTCGCACAACGAGTCTGTGTGTCAGCTCGATTGGATCACGGGAAGTGGGTTAAAAAACGACCGAAAGGTTTGCACGGTCGTAAGCAAGCAAGCGGAACTTAATATAAAGGATTTAAAAAATATATAAAATAGCGATTGAATCGCAAATCAGAATATGTTCATAACGCGGGAGAAATCCGATGCGCTGTAAAGCGCTTTGGTCACAGACTTCACGGAGGGGTCACGGTGTAAGAACGTTACAGTGACAGACAGACAGGGGCCGTCCATAAATGACGTCACGCACCTGGGGGGGGGGGTGGGGGTCAGACATTTGTGACGATGTGTGACGAGGGGGGGGGGGTTTAGAAATGTGACGTCACGTCAAAATGGGCAACTTTAAATAAATATAGACAACACGTTCTATTTAATTAAATAGACTTTGTAATAAATGTTTTCTCCTACAACATGAGAGTGCAGCGCCGCATTAAATACGCACTACAATGACAACAATAGTTTAAGGCGATTTGAAGCATTTTTTTATTTTTTTGGGGGGGGCAGAGCTTTGTGACGTCATATTTGAGGGGGGGGGTCTGACTTTTTGTGACGTCATGTGACGAAGGGGGGGGTCTGACTTTTTGTGACGTCATGTGACGAAGGGGGGGGTCTGACTTTTTGTGACGTCATGTGACGAAGGGGGGGTCTGACTTTTTGTGACGTCATGTGACGAAGGGGGGGTCTGACTTTTTGTGACGTCATGTGACGAAGGGGGGGGGGTCTGACTTTTTGGGACGTCATGTGACGAAGGGGGGGTCTGACTTTTTGTGACGTCATGTGACGAAGGGGGGGGTCTGACTTTTTGTGACGTCATGTGACGAAGGGGGGGGTCTGACTTTTTGTGACGTCATGTGACGAGGGGGGGGTCAAAAATCGTCCAAAATCGCGTGACGTCATCTATGGACGGCCCCTGACGCACTTCATTAGTTATATTCACGGAGATTGTTTAATTCACGTTTCATCTTGAAAATAAAATGGCTCGTTTGATCGTTAAAATACAATTAAGTTTTGATTTAAAGCTTTCGTGACTGCAGGGATTCATATTATTGGTTCTTTCGGTAAAGTCACGCAGAAGGGAAATAATAAAATAATAAAAAGTAAACAGTAACATTTTATTGTTAAATTATTTCTTTTTTATTGTTTAATTAAACAATAAAATGTAATTGTGGAATTTTAATTATTTTACTAATAATTTTTTTTAATTGTTGAATTCTTATTATTTTATTATTTCCCCTCTACGTGACTTTACCGAAAGAACCAAGAAAATACAAAAACGTTTCACTTCCGTCGACGTCATTTCCGCAACGAAGACGGCGTCACAGCGGTGACGTCACAAGCGGCCACGCCGCCTCGGCAGGTATGACGTCACGTCACCAGCAACAACTCGCAAACCTCCCGCTGGATGACGTCACGAGTCTCCAAGCCGCTCGTGGGCAACGGTGACATTGACTTTGTGACGTCACCACCGCATTTTTGTCCCTCCCCGGCCCCGCGTAACATGACGTCACCGCGATGATGCGACCGCCGCGGATGACGTCATCGCCCCTGATGCCCTACCCCCCGTTCAGAATCAGAATCTGTATTTAGACTGCAACAGGAGGTAATCTGAAGAGCTGTAAAGCTCTTTGTGAACAAAATTCGCGTGATTCGTGTGTTTTTGCACTATACTCTTTCGGTAAAGTCACGTAGAAAAAGTAAAATAAAAAAAAATAAAAAATGTAATAAAATTTTAGTTTTCTAAAAATCTTAATTTTTCTTCTTGGTTCTTTCGGTAAAGTCACGTAGAATGGAAATAATAAAATAATAAAAATAAAACATAAAATAATTCTCACGACGTTTCGGCCACAACAGACAGATTCTGTCTACTCGGCAGACCTGTTCTCCACCTGAGGACGGCTGCTTGCGTTGTGGCCGAAACGTCGTGAGAATTATTTTATTATGTTTTATTTTTATTATTTTATTATTTCCATTCTACGTGACTTTACCGAAAGATTCTAGATTTGAAGCTTTCGTGACTGCAAGGATTCATATTCTTAGGGTTTTCGGTAAAGTCACGTAGGTAAAACATTAAAATTTATTAAAGTAAAATGTTTATTTTATTTTACTTTTATTAATTTCAAGTAAAAGTAAAATGTTTATTTTATTTTACTTTTATTAATTTTAATGTTTTACCTACGTGACTTTACCGAAAAAACCTAAGACTATTTACCGAAAGAACCAAGAAGATGAATCCCAGCCGTCACGAAAACTTTAAATCGAAATCTGAAATTTTTTTTGTATTTTTTTTGTCTACGTGACTTTACCGAAAGAACCAAAGAGTGTGGATTCCTGCGGTCACGAAAGCTTCAAATCTACAATAGACGATGACAGAAAGTTTAACTTTGTTTGCATCACGAGCACCGCTTGTGGTTAATTCAGTAATTAGATTCTTTGCAAAAAGTAATCCATTTGGTATTGTTTAAGGCCCCGACATAGAGGCATTGGGTCTCTGTGTGTCGATGTTGTGTGTCTCTCTCTGCGTGTCTCTGTGTTGTCTCTCTGTGTCTCTCTCTCTCTGCTTGTGTGTCTGTCTGTGTGTCTCTGTGTTGTCTCTGTGTGTCTATGTTGTGTGTCTCTGTGTGTCTCTGTGTGTCTCTCTGTGTGTCTATGTTGTGTGTCTCTCTCTGTGTGTCTCTCTCTGTGTGTCTCCGTGTTGTCTCTGTGTGTCTATGTTGTGTGTCTCTGTGTGTGTCTCTCTGTTCGTGTGTCTGTGTGTCTCTGTGTTGTCTCTGTGTGTCTATGTTGTGTGTCTCCGTGTTGTCTCTCTCTGTGTGTCTCTCACTGTGTGTCTCTGTGTGTGTCTCTCTCTCTGTGTCTCTGTGTTGTCTCTCTCTGCTTGTATGTCTGTTTGTGTCTATGTTGTGTGTGTCTCTCTCTCTGTGTGTCTGTGTTGTCTCTCTCTGTGTGTATCTGTGTGTCTCTGTGTGTGTCTCTCTCTGTGTGTCTCTCACTGTGTGTCTCTGTGTGTCTCTCTCTCTCTGTGTCTCTGTGTGTGTCTCTCTCTGCTTGTGTGTCTGTCTGTGTCTATGTTGTGTGTGTCTCTCTCTCTGTGTCTCTGTGTTGTCTCTCTCTGTGTGTATCTGTGTGTCTCTGTGTGTGTCTCTCTCTGTGTGTCTCTCACTGTGTGTCTCTGTGTGTCTCTGTGTGTGTCTCTCTCTGTGTGTCTCTCACTGTGTGTCTCTGTGTGTCTCTGTATGTGTGTCTCTCTGCTTGTGTGTATGTCTGTGTGTCTCCGTGTCTGTGTTTTGTCTCTCTCTCAAATTTAGTTCTACCTGATGACGGTTGCTTGTGTTGCAATCGAAACGTCGTATTCTATTATTTTATTAACTTTCTACGTGACTTTACCGAAAGACCCAAATAATATAATTCCCCGCAGTCACGAAAGCTTCAAATCGAAATTTGTTTGTGTTCGTTTCTTGGGTGATTTGTTGACATTTTTTGCACTTAAATAAATATTCCAATCGTGACCACATTCCTTTAGAAGCATGCTCGCCCCCTGGTGACGTCACGCAATTAGGCCACGCCCTCGGGCCCCACCTTGATGACGTATGCGGCGCGAGCCACTTCACCCCCCCCCCACTTCACCTGTCCCCGGAAGTGAAGTTTCCTTTTTGTTGTGTCCGAGTGGACCTCGCGGTGGGACGCCGCGACTTCGTTGGGGACGCGGTGAGACTTCGTTAACGTGTGGAGAGGGTTTACACGTCCACAGGTACTAGTACACACACACACGCACAGGTACACACGCACAGGTATACGTACACACACAGGTACTAGTACACGTACACACAGGTACACGTACACACAGGTACACGTACACACAGGTACACACACACAGGTACAGGTACACACACGTACAGGTACGCACACAGGTACACGTACACACACACAGGTACACTTACACACACACAGGTACACGTACACACACGTACACACACAGGTACACACACAGGTACACGTACACACACACACAGGTACACGTACACACACACAGGTACACACACACAGGTACACACACGCACAGGTACACACACACAGGTACACACACACTGGCACACACACACACACAGGTACACACATATACACATACACACACAGGTACTAGTACACACTCACAGGTACATATGTACACGTACACACAGGTACACATACACACAGGTACTAGTACACACTCACAGGTACTAGTACACACATATACACATACACACAGGTACTAGTATACACTCACAGGTACATACATATAGGTACACGTACACACAGGTACACGTACACACATATACACACAGGTACACGTACACACACAGGTACATATACTCACACAGGTATTAGTACACGTACACACACAGGTACACGTACATACACACAGGTACACACACAGGTACATATACTCACACCGGTACATATACTCACACAGGTACACACACACAGGTGCACATACACAGGTACATGTACACACATATACACATACACACACAGGTACTAGTACATACACAGGTACATGTACTGTACACACACAGGTACATATACTGTACACACACAGGTACATGTACTGTACACACACAGGTACGTGTACACACAGGTACATATACTCACACAGGTACATACATACACACATGTACACGTCCACAGGTACACGTACACACACAGGTACTAGTACACACACACAGGTACATGTACTGTACACACACAGGTACATGTACACTACACACACAGGTATATGTACTGTACACACAGGTACGTGTACACACACAGGTATATGTAGACACACAGGTACATATATACACACAGGTACATACACTACACAAACAGGTACATACACTACACAAACAGGTACATACACTACACAAACAGGTACATGTAGACACACCGGTACATGTACTGTACACACACAGGTACATGTACACACAGGTACATGTACACACACAGGTACATGTACACTACACACACAGGTACATACACACAGGTACATGTACTCTACACACACAGGTACATATGCACAGATACACACAGGTGCATGTACTCTATACACACAGGTACATGTACTGTACACACACAGGTACATGTACACAGATACACACACAGGTACATATACACAGATACACACACAGGTACATGTACACAGATACACACATACACACAGGTACACATTCATATCCACACATACACACAGGTACACATTCATATCCACACATACACACAGGTGCACGTGTGTACAGGTACGTAGCCAACCTTGTTCATCGGAGGTATGGGGCAAGGACAAATACACACGTACAGGTTCCCATATATACATTCATGTGTACACACATTCATGTATATACACATACATACACACAGATGCACACACAAGTATACAAAAGGTGACACACACACATAGCTACATAGGTGCATAATGCGCACACAAACACATGTACACACATACCTACATCTACATACACGCCTGTAGAGTAGGTAACATCACACCCACCCACACACGCATGCGTACAGTATACACTTTCTATATATAGACAGACTCACAGGTGTGTACACGGGGGGGTACACAGGTGTGTACACGGGGGGGGGGGGTACACAGAGAAGCAGCGTCGCTGTCACAACAATCACAGTGGCATTGTTAGGATGTAGTCACCGATGACTCACTCAGAGATCAATCACACCTCGTTTAAAGACGAGCCAGACTCACTCACCCACCCACTCACTCACCCCACACACTTACTCACCCTCTCACTCACCCACCCCACACACACACACTAACTCACCCACGCGCTCTTACACTCACTCGCCCACCCACACACTTATTCTTACACCCAAACACACACTCACTCACTCGCCCACCCACTCATTCTTACACTCACTCACCCACTCACTCACCCACCCACTCATTATTTCACTCACTCACCCACTCACTCGCCCCCCCCCACACACCCACCCACTGACTCTTACACTCACCCACTCACTCTTAGACTCACTCTCTCACTCTTTGACTCACTCACCCACGCGCTCTTACACTCAATTACACTCATTTATATTCTTGGTTCTTTCAGTAAAGTCACGTAGAAGGGAAATAATAAAAGATAATAAATATTTGTTTATATTTTTATTATTTTATTATTTCCCTTCCACGTGACTTTACCGAAAGAACCAAGAATATGAATCCCTGCTGTCACGAAAGCTTTAAATCAAAATTTACCCACTCACTCTTACACTCAACTACCCACTCACTCTTGCACTCACTCGCCCACCCACACACTTATTCTTACACCCAAACACACACTCACTCACCAACTCATTCTTACACTCACCCACCCACACACTCGCTCACCCACCCACACACTCACCCACCCACTCACACAGTCACTCACTCACTCACCCACTCACACAGTCACTCACCCACTCACACAGTCACACAGTCACTCACCCACTCACCCACGCACAGTCACTCACCCACCCACGCACACAGTCACTAAAGCTACGTACCATAGCATAGTGTATATTGTAATGTATAGTGTACAATGTAGTGTATAGTAGTGTATAGTGTAGTGTATAGTGTAGTGTATAGTGTCGTGTCATAGTGAAGCGTATAGTGTAGTATATAGTGTAGTGTATAGTGTAGTGTAATAATGTATTGTATAGTGTAGTGTATAGTAGTGTAGTGTATAGTAGTGTAGTGTAATAGTGTAGTGTATACATGCATTGAACGTATCGTAACGTATCACATTGTACCGTACTCACCAAGATTCTGCCCGTCGTCTGCACACTTGAACGATGTTAGGTTGTCGATGGCAATTTTGTCGTGTCGCCATCGTAACATCGAAATATCGCAAGTCGGACCCCATCGTAACTCGGGGACTACCTGTGCTGTACATTCACGTACGCAACCTACGCACACAGGTGGAGTCAGCTGGAGCCATGGGCTGCTACACCTGGTTCGTGATACCTTTGGTCTGGGCTGCAATTGCAGGTGAGTGAGAGTGACAGGCGTGGCACAGGTGAGATACAAATATACGTGAGGTTCCAATGGTGTTAATGCTTCACCCCGAGCTCTCATACTCTGATGGTGCATTGTCTTTGAGTTGTGCGCCTTTTGGCGTCATCTGATCCAACACCATGTGAGACTAGGCTCTAAGGAAAGCTGTCTCGGGTGTGGACCAATCAACTTCAAGGACAGTGCATACATTATCAGAGTTGTGTGTTTTGTTTGCATTACGACCGCAGGTATTGTGGTCAATGCAAACATGACTCCTTGTAAAAAAGGTGTCAGTTTTGTTGCCAGATAAAAGGGTAAAACACCGATTATCATATTTTTCTACTGGCAAATGGGGTTCCAATGGTGTCAATGCTAAACCCCGAGCTCTCATACTCTGATGGTGCATTGCCTTTGAGTTGTGCGCCTTTTGGCGTCATCTGGTCCAACACCATGTGAGACTAGGCTCTAAGGAAAGCTGTCTCGGGTGTGGAACAATCAACTTCAAGGACAGTGCATACAGAGTTGTATTTTTTGTTTGCATTATGACTGCAAACTCCGCCCCCCACCGTCGTCGTAGCAAAGATATTGCAACTACTGTACTGTGGAGGCGACCGCGTGGAGTTCGGATTAAACCGGGAGCAACGTATTTGTTCGGGTTTTTAAGCGCCGGTGACTTGTAAATAAACATTTGCACGAATAACAATGCGTGTGTAACTGTTTTTAGATCATTAACTTAGGCTTAAAAGAGGGGGGGGGGGGGGAGAGAAATCCGTGCGTTATTAATTTACGTTAGGTGTGTACGTCTTTTTACTACACGCTCTTATTTAACTCGCTCTGTCTGTTGTTGTCGTTGTTGTTGCTTGCTCGAATTTTGTAACTCAATTTAAACCCACTTCCCAATGTGGTATCGACTGCAAACTTGGTATACTTATGTCATACTGATGACATTACTATATTCTATCATAAAAAATGTATTTTTAAACAATAATTTTTATATGTTATGTTTCGGCTTGGGTCTAATTGTCCACGGTAAACTGACGTTGGCTGTAATTGGCCACGGTCCTTTACGTACTGGCAAGCTTCGGGGGCCACTTCCTGGAGTCGTGGAGTTCTTCCATTACTAGTAGGGTACATAAAAGCGTGTTTTAATTTTTTTTTATTTTAAATATCACTTATTATGAAGGGAACACGTGGTATCTCGGTGTGGTCTGTGACTCTTTTTTTGCCGTGGGGTTTTTACCCTTTCCCAAGCTTGAGAATTGATGGTGATGATGATGCAATCTGAACTTGTATACTTCATTTATTTTAGGGGCACGCTAGGGTGCTTATCTTCCTTGCCTGGTATGCGGAGAGTTCAGGGGTTCGATCCCGACCCCGATAATGCCTGTTCTATATCTGGAGTTTGCATGTACCTCTCCCCATGAGGAAACGTTAACTACCTCGCCTGGTATACAGGAGATCGTGGGTTCGATCCCGACACTGATGCCTGCTGTATATTTGTAGTTTTCGTCTCTCATCATCATCACGTTGGCTACGAGATGTTAACTACCTCGCCTGGTATGCAGGAGGTCGTGGGTTCGATCCCAACCCTGACAAATGCCTGTTGTACATTTGGAGTTTGCATCTCTCTCTCATCATCATTACGGTGGCTAGGAGATGTTAACTACCTCGCCTGGTCTACAGGAGGTCGTGGGTTCGATCCCAACCCTGACAAATGCCTGTTGTACATTTGGAGTTTGCGTGTCTCTCATCATCATCACGGTGACTAGGAGATGTTAACTACCTCGCCTGGTGTACAGGAGGTCGTGGGTTCGATCCCAACCCTGACAAATGCCTGTTGTACATTTGGAGTTTGCGTCTCTCTCATCATCATCATCACGGTGGCTAGGAGATGTTAACTACCTCGCCTGGTCTACAGGAGGTCGTGGGTTCGATCCCAACCCTGACGCCTGCTGCTGTATATTTGGAGTTTGCGTGTCTCTCTCTCCATAATCGCGTGGATTTTTTTTCCGGGTCCTCCGCCTTTTCCTTCCACATTTAGAAGAACACGCGTTTATCCTATTGAGATAAGTTTGCTGCGATAAATTTCCAACTGATAAGGCCACTTTATTGAGCTGATACCATTTGTTGGCCAGGTCGCTTTTGCAAAAGAAGTTAATAGCTCGGTAGGGGCTGTGACTGGGAGAATGGGGATGTATACTCTTAGTTCTTTCGGTAAAGTCACGTAGGTAAAAAATGAAATCAAAATTAATAAAAATATAAAACAAAAACAATAAAATCACGACGTTTCGGAGGCAACACAAGCTTCCGTCTTCAGGTGAAACTGTCACAGCAAAATATCTGTGACAGTTTCACCTGAAGACGGAAGCTTGTGTTGCCTCCGAAACGTCGTGATTTTATTGTTTTTGTTTTTTTATTCATTTTGATTTCATTTTTTACCTACGTGACTTTACCGAAAGAACTAAGAGTATGAATCCTTGCAGTCACGAAAGCTTCAAATCTAGAACGAATGGGGATGGTTTTGTGTTGTACTTGTAGGTGTGTTTGGTGACTTCTGTACCTTCCTTGTACTTTGCACTCTTATTTCGTTTGTTTTATTGTTTGTTGCTGGAACGTTTTGACCCCGACTCTAGACATCTGTTAGGAAAGAGCTTCATAGCTCATCAGATTCCTCCTGCAGTCAAATCTTTTTTTCTGATTCTAATCCGCAAATCGGATAAACCGCACGCAGATAATCAAGTCCGTTTTGCGACAAATATCATCCATACTATCGTTTTTTTGGGTTGGATCACGTAAATATTAATGTGTCGTTAAACCCGCCACCACCCGACACAGCCAATTAGTAAACTTGTGTCACGTAAATGGAACGTGGTAAATTCGTTACTAGTACAGCACTAGTAGTGTAGTGTATAGTGTAGTGTATAGTGTAGTGTATAGTGTAGTGTGTAGTGTATAGTGTAGTGTATAGTCGTATATTGTATAGTGTAGTGTATAGTCGTATATTGTATAGTGTAGTGTATAGTCGTATATTGTATAGTGTAGTGTATAGTCGTATATTGTATAGTGTAGTGTATTGTGTATAGCAGTGTAGTGTATAGTGTAGTTTTTAGCAGTATATTGTATAGTATAGTGTAGTATACTAGGACAGCACTCGTGTGTAGTGTAGTGTATTGTGTATAGTAGTGTAGTGTATAGTGTAGTATACTAGTACAGCACCAGTATATAGTGTAGTGTATAGTACATTGTATAGTGTAGTGTATATTGTAGTATACTAGTAAAGCACACCAGTTGTGTGTTGGAGAGCAAACCCACAACATTTACAATCTGAGCACGACATTTCGCCAGTAATTACAACTAGCTTCAATAATAATCACGAGTGCTGGATATATTTACACAACCACCATGCCTTTGCAATGTTCTTAGGGTTCCAGAGATTTCTGTTTGTAAGTCGATTTGTTCGCAAGTCCATCTTTACTCCTATCGATTCCAAACGCGTTGCACGGCATGCACACTAACACAGAGGAATGGCTTTAAAAGTTGTATAATCTCCTATAGATGTAGATGCCACTGGTTCTTCACGTTCTACAGATGTAGATACCACTGATTCTTCATGTTTTGCAGATGTAACGCCACTGGTTCTTCACGTTATGCAGATGCCACTGGTTCTTCACATTATGCAGATGTAGATGCCACTGGTTCTTCACGTTCTGCAGATGTAGATGCCACTGATTCTTCACGTTATGCAGATGTAGATGCCACTGGTTCTTCACGTTATGCAGATGCCACTGGTTCTTCACGTTATGCAGATGCCACTGGTTCTTCACGTTCTGCAGATGTAGATGTCACTGGTTCTTCACGTTATGCAGATGTAGATGCCACTGGTTCTTCATGTTCTGCAGATGTAGATGCCACTGGTTCTTCACGTTCTGCAGATGTAGATGCCACTGGTTCTTCACGTTCTACAGATGTAGATACCACTGATTCTTCATGTTTTGCAGATGTAACGCCACTGGTTCTTCACGTTATGCAGATGCCACTGGTTCTTCACATTATGCAGATGTAGATGCCACTGGTTCTTCACGTTCTGCAGATGTAGATGCCACTGATTCTTCACGTTATGCAGATGCCACTGGTTCTTCACGTTATGCAGATGCCACTGGTTCTTCACGTTATGCAGATGCCACTGGTTCTTCACGTTCTGCAGATGTAGATGTCACTGGTTCTTCACGTTATGCAGATGTAGATGCCACTGATTCTTCATGTTCTGCAGATGTAGATGCCACTGGTTCTTCACGTTCTGCAGATGTAGATGCCACTGGTTCTTCACGTTCTGCAGATGTAGATACCACTGATTCTTCATGTTCTACAGATGTAGATGCCACTGGTTCTTCACGTTATGCAGATGTAGATGCCACTGGTTCTTCACGTTCTGCAGATGTAGATGCCACTGGTTCTTCACGTTCTGCAGATGTAGATGTCACTGGTTCTTCACGTTATGCAGATGTAGATGCCACTGGTTCTTTATGTTCTGCAGATGTAGATGCCGCTGGTTCTTCACGTTCTGTAGATGTAGATGCCCCTGGTTCTTCACGTTCTGTAGATGTAGATGCCACTGGTTCTTCACGTTCTGCAGATGTAGATGCCACTGGTTCTTCACGTTCTGCAGATGTAGATGACACTGGTTCTTCACGTTCTGCAGATGTAGATGCCACTGGTTCTTCACGTTATGCAGATGTAGATGCCACTGGTTCTTCACGTTCTGCAGATGTAGATGCCACTGGTTCTTCACGTTCTGCAGATGTAGATGTCACTGGTTCTTCACGTTATGCAGATGTAGATGCCACTGGTTCTTCATGTTCTGCAGATGTAGATGCCGCTGGTTCTTCACGTTCTGTAGATGTAGATGCCCCTGGTTCTTCACGTTCTGTAGATGTAGATGCCACTGGTTCTTCACGTTCTGCAGATGTAGATGCCACTGGTTCTTCACGTTCTGC